AAGGGCGGGTTAGCTTGGCTTCGAGTGCGCACCGAATCCTGCCATCCGATCTGAACATCTCACGGCTGCACTGTGTCCACGCTGGAGAATACTCGTTTCACCGAGTCTCTCTCCGAGATAGCGCCCCTTTCGTGCGGGGGCAAGGTCCCACTTGTACGGATTAAGAGATTCTGGCCGTTGATCTTTGCCATCTACGGTCAATATCGCTTTATTCGAACTGCTTTTGGGACCTAGCCCCGGGGCGGAACTTACCCGACAAGGTAGAGGGCGTCGCCGCAAGGGGACACGAAACGGAAAACGAAACGAGTGCATCTTCCTGCAGGAAATGGCCAGGTTCATCGGTTTGATATAAATACTAACGAGTGTATTTTGCCACCTTTCGTGGGCAGATGCACTCGTTTCGTTTTCGTTTCGTGTGCCGTGCGGCGAGACCCACAGTTTCGCTACCTTAGGACCGTTATAGTTACGGCCGCCGTTAACCGGGACTTCGGTTGCCACCCGTCTTCACACGAATACAACGTCCGGTCATTATTGCTGTATCTGGACTCGAAGTTGCCCTACATACATACAGGTATAATGACCGTACGTTGTATTCGGGTGAAGACGGGTAGCTTAACCATAATAGGAGTCACCAAACTTTCTTCAACCAAATACATACAGGAGTTACCACACTTTCTTCAACCGATTGCTGTATCTAGACTCGAAGTTGCCCCAAATACATACAGCTATAATGACCGGCACTGGGTAGGGCTGTGAAAGGAAGACGAAAGCCCCACCAGTGGGACTCAACCCTGCGGGCGAAGTCCCACTAGCAAATCGGATTGGATTTATTACACTCCTGAATCTGGACGTGTCCGCTGACATTGTCACAAGATCGGGATTGATCTGCATCTCTGCATAGAACATGTCCAGATTCAAACCCTCGATCCATTTGCTGGAGGGCCTTAGCCCCGGCTCTACTGTTGTGTACGCACAGGACCATGAGATCCCTGGGACCAACGAGCCTACAGTATCTCAATTGGTACCCCCACAAACTGTTGAAATTTTTTTTTATTATTATTATTTTTTTTTTACAGACCCAAGTTCGAATCCAGCCCCAGTCCAATGACCAGAATAAAATAAAAAATAATTCTGAATTACCTGGGGCCGGTCAGTTCAAGGCCCCTTTTTAAGAAAAAAAGATGAGATCCCTGGGGGCGTGCGCCCCCCTTGCGGCGGGGTTGTTCCGCTTTCGAGTATTTTTCAACGTGGTCACATTGTGGCCGTAAGATTTTCAGATCGGATGGCAAGGACCCGGGGATACTCAAAACCAGAATTAGGGTCAGATCCCACTACCCTGGATTATTCATTTTTCACCCTCGATTACGAAGATCAACGGTCGAAAATCAACAATAGGGGTTAGTGGGATCTGGCCCTTAGCAAGTTATTAAACCTCCTCAAGTGGATGCACCATATGCATATAGCACCTGTTTGTTTTTTTTGGTGGGCTAGGGGGAGGATTTACATCACTCATAAAGGGTGAGGACATACTAGGACGCATTAAGAGATTGTCTAACTCTCCCCCCCGCCCCAAAAAAAAAAAAAAAAAAAAAAAAGGAAAAAAAAGAAGAAGAAGATAGTGTCCATAGATCAAGATGATCAATGGTCAGTCTGGGCCCTGGTCGGCAAACGAACGGCAGCTCGGAGATTCCTGAAACTTTTGAAAGCATTTCATTTCACACTTAGCCTCAGATCCCACTACCCTGGATTATTCATTTTTCACCCTCGATTACGAAGATCAACGGTCAGAAATGAACAATAGGTGCTAGTGGGATCTGGCCCTTACTATTATTTCGAGAAAGTGCGGGATTTAGGGCCCGCCTCGCTCCACCACTCACCAAAGGCACAAAAAAACAAAGAAAATAAAAATGACGATGTATTTTCCCATGTTCTCGCGGAAGATTCATTCTCATTTCGCCTGCGAACGAGGAGAGAGGTGGGGGGCGGGGGGGAGCAGAAAGAGAAAAAGGAGAAACAAGAAACACAACGCATACCTTTCACGGCCTTTCGGCTAAGTAAGATCAAGTGCAATGTATCTGTTCGGATCAGTGGTCCATTGGCCCAGGAAGAGGGGGGGGGGGGGAAGGGGGGGAAACGACAAAAACACAGGCGCGTGGAAGGAAAACACAGAAAGAGCAAATCTGTTCTTTTTTTTTTTTTTTTTTTTTACGGAATCTGAAAATTTCAAAGAACTCGTGACCGAGCTAAAACGACAATACATCCACCACCACCACACGCCTTCACGATTTCCCTTTCCTACTCCTCCCCCATCTCTAACCCCTAACATTACTCTAACTATAAAACTTGAACTCACCACTTCATTACCAATCAAAACTCTGTGAAACATTTCTGTGAATTTACAGCCCTGTCTAAACTCCCTAGGTTGTTTACGATCTCCCCGCTTTTCCCTCTTTCTCACCTCTTCAGCGTTTCAACCGCTCACAAAACTTACGAGATTTGTAAATCGCACACCTGTACAAACTCCATAAGAACAGCTAAGCGACGACGAATGTGAGGGGAGTAGCAGGACGAGGAAGATTAAGAAGGCAAACAAGAAAAACAGAGAGCGGAAGAAGAAGAAGAAGAAGAAGAAGAAGAAGAAAAAAGAAGAAGAAACGAAGAAGGTCAGAGGAGTAGTAGAAAGAAGATTAAGAAGACAAGAAAAACAGAGGGAGGAAGAAGAAGAAGAAGAAGAAGAAGAAGAGTGACAAACAGTGGCCAAACTGCTTTCAGTACACATGGTTCTCAAGCTTTGCCTTCCAAATCCGCACGTACAGTACTCGGCAACGCGCACATTCCCCGACGCCGGGTTTCGACCGCTTGCGCTGCTGTCATCCTCAGCAGAATTTCCACACGCCCCTTACGGCTTCCACCACTCACTACCACCGACTGAGTAAGAAGAAAGAAAAGGGTAGAAGAAGAAGAAGAGGGAAGAAAAAGAAAACGAAGAAGACGAAAAGATGAAGACGAAGGAGAAGAAGAAGAAGGGGGGAAGAAGAAGAAAGGGAAAGAAGAAGAGGGACGAGGACGAGGAGGGGAAAGAACATAGGGGACAAAGAAAGAAACAACTGCAAGGATCTGAAGCAAGATCTAGAGGGTCACGTGAGAGAATCTAGAAGATTGACCAATCTGATCGAAGATCAGCTCACTCGATAATGTACAGAATGTACAACAGCCACACAACATTTCCCGCCAACCCAAATGTCTTTTCCCTTTTTCACTTTACATGCTTTCGGTATTCGGTACACGTTTTAGCCACTTCCTACGGCCCCCCTCATCACGTACATTGATTGATGCTTTTGCATGCGTCATCATTTCAACACACCCTCCATCTAAAATGAGCAACACTTGTACATACATACATACATACATACATACATGTACTTGTACATACATACATACATACATACATACATGTACTTGTACATACATACATACATGCATACATAAAATGCTCCTTAAACATCACGGCACAGAAGTCCCACCAAGAGCATTTTCAAGCCAAGGCTAGAAGAAGCTTCACGATCCAAACAAACTTCATGGTTAGTACTACGGTTTCCTTCGCAATCTACTACACCGCGTCCGTGCTAATGACCTACCTATAAAACACGAACCTGGTCGATAATCCCGGCAAGGTTCATATGCGACTGTACCACATACAGACATACAGCAACCACGGTTACGTTTCAAAGAAAAGCAAAACACAGATGTTTCAACAAGATAGACAAAAATCACAGATTTTCGTTTCACCAAAAGAAAAAGAAAAAAAGATTCCCAAAATGATTCAGAAGGGAAAAAATCACAGATCATTCCAAAACCAAGGAATAAAAAAAAAAAAGGCCATTCTTCTAACAGAAAAAAAGAAGGTCATCTCCAAAAAAAAAAAAAAAAAGGTCATACTAACTAACTAATCTTCCTGCAGGGCAGCTCGGGTACCAATAGCCACACCTATTGCGACCCTTGGCGCGATGGTAGTTAGCGTTTCGTACGCTCTGCCGACTCCAGGAATCTTCTTGAGTGTTCGATCAACGGCGATGACGGCCAGAGTGCCAAAGGCCACGTAAAAGCTGACTCGGCGCGCAGCTACCTTCATGCCGATCGTCCCCAAAAGCTCTGTAAGGAATCGTCGGTACTCTTCCAGGCTTAAAACCTTCCCTTCGACCAACCCCTCCTTCTTGATCTTCTGCCCAATCTCCTCCGGTTTGGGCCTCCTGCCTAGCCAGAACTGCCGCCACTCTAAATCCCCACCCTTGGAAGCAGCCATATTTACGTAAAACGCTTCTATGGCCTCAGGCAGATACATCACACCCAACTCCCCCCCGCTCGTACTGCCTCCATCGACATCTTTTCCAGATCTCTCTCCCTTCCCCTCCCTTTCATCGTTCTTGGCCTCCTTACTCTCCTCCTCTTCTTCCGTCACAACTTGCGCAGGATAGCGTCTGACCAACTCCTCGAAACTGGAGTCAACGGCAGTCTGGAAAGTCAACGACCGACTGAAGATCCCGTCCACCTGTCGGGACACGTTGGCACCCATCTTCGCAGCAAGCCGCGATGCCGCACAGCGCACCCACTCCACACATTCTCTTATCGTTGATCCGAGTGACGATGGCATTAGGTCACCTCCGACGAACGGCACGGCTGCCCCCCCTTTTTTCCCTCCTTGACAGCCTTTAGATGGCCAATCTACTACCCCAAATCAAACAGCGCAGGCAACTACGGTAATCACCCAATAGCCGCCACCGCTGTCTGCTTAACGAACGAATAGTCACGTCTCTCTGCTCAAAGAAGAATAGCCGCTTCTCTCTGCTCAAAGAAGAATAGCCGCTTCTCTCTGCCCAAAGAATAGCCACTTCTCCCTACGCAACGAGTAGAGCTACTTCTCTCTGCTCAAAGAATAGCCGCTGCTGTCTGCGATCGACGTTAGCTCTGCAGCGTTACCTCTCAACCTCTCTCCGGCATCCCCTTTTGGATCTCTGAGAGCCTTTAAAACCTTAAAGATGACCGCTGTAAGTCTGAGGGCGTACTCACACTCCGAGTAGGACTTTAGGACTTTTTCCACATGTCTGTTTTGACGTAATTGCGGTCAGATGCATCCAGGAGGGGTTGCCGCCAGATACATCTAGGATAGTCCTAGCCTGAGTGAGTCCGTCATCACTCTTTCTTAGGTAATCATCATCCTCGCCTGCCCCGATCGTCGTACAAATAGATTCAGCAGATACTCCCGCCGCTCCCTACCCGGAGCAAGGTCGCGCTTGCACGGATTAAGTCTTTGCTATCTACGGTCAATATCACTTAATTCGGGTAAGTGGGACCTAGTAGCGAAGGGATTTCCCCTCGCTTCACTTTTCCTTCCCCCCGCTCAATCCTGCTTCTCTCCAAAACGATTGCTGACATAACTAACACCTCGGAAAATGACGAAAGATTGGGCGCCAATCCCTAATAACAACCGACGACTGAAAATCAAACCGCCGACTGAAAATCAAAAATAGAATCAAAATAGAGGACATCAATCAAAAGACCGATGGCTTTTAAAAAAAAAAAAAAAAAAAAAAAAAAAAAAACCGATGGCGAGGCGCGAGAAAGAAACGAAACCGACGGCGTCGCACTGCCCTCTTCGCCGAACACAACGCACCCTCATGTTCCCTGTATCAGGCCGGAATCATCTCTTGTGTACGTTCATTTTCAGGGTGCCTTATGTTCGCGGGAAGACGGTACAGTTTTGTCGCTGATTGTCATATCATATCATGCCCACCTTCTCGTTTTCATTTTCAAACCCAGACAAGCCGTGTTTCTCTTTCCCCGCCCTAACTGGTATCTCCGCTCGGGCCCCGCCAAAACCGGCCTTCTCCCGTGACCCCCGCTCATTCCGCCCCTTCGAGTCCCGCGCTCAATCAGACCGTCGGAACCCCCGCTCAATCCGGCCAATTGGGCCTTTTTTTTTTTTTTAAGAAGTAGTCACTTTATATTCCAAAAACCCATGGACGAGGCCGGGGTCCTCACAATTCAACCCGGAAGTAACCAGTCAGTGCAGTCACCATGCTGGAAACCGGGGACCAAGTCGCACTTGCAGCGGTTTAGTCCTCAGTTCGGGACCCTGTGTTTTGTGCGACACGTTTCCTGACCGCTGATTGACATTGATCGTAGGGCGCATGGTCGGTTATGTTTTCCTTCGAACAGAATGGATTGAATGTTGCTATGTAGCGGTTTCCCATTGGCTGTTATAGTCGGAATGAGCTCTTTCACTCGCAGGGAACGGTCCTCGTCCGTAGCCTGACCCCAGTCGGGCTAGACGTGGGGCCCGTCCATCGTCTTGTATTTCCACAGAAACTAAAAGTTTCTCCCGACAATGCCGCTGCCATACCCTTGGCTACCAGACTGACCGGGCTTTCATCATTACTGTCATTCAGCACGTTCAAATCCTGTTATTTTTCGCGATTTAACCCGTCGTTTGTCAACCAGCTGCACATTGCCACACGAAGTCACACAGTGTCGTGCAGTACTGGCTACGGGAACTAAACCGCTGCAAGTGGGACTTGGTCCCGGGTCCAGCGTCCCAAGACCAAGACTACTTCTCAAAATCCGAAGTTGAAGCTCAAAAAAAAAAAAGGGGGGGGGACCGTGGAGAAAGAAGTGCCTGTTTGCATCCTACGGCCCGTACTGATCAGTTGACCATTTGGTCCTGCTCTTCTATACCCGTCCCAAAATACTCCCTGTTCATCCACAACTAACCGGGTCTAGACTGAGCCAAGTGAAGCTTCTCCTAAAACTGGTTTCACAGACCATGAACACAGAAGTGCGGGCCTACAACGGCCCTATAGTGAGCCAGGAAGTAACCGATGGCTTTCCCTTCGCATCTGGCACTACCAATCTTCCCTTGAGGCCCCATGTTCTCCAGAGCCAGTTGGTTCCTGTGAGGGAGGCGCCTGATTTTGCCTTTCTATGCCAGTCGGCCCAGATACTCTGCCTAAGGTGAGTCTTTATCCTCGATTTCAGCATTGCGTCCGGGATCCCTTCTTGGCGAAACACATGATTGTTTCTCTCCTCCCAGATAGCCATTAACAAAATCGCTCTGAAAACTTGGGCTAGGTACATGTCTGCTGTGCCAGCGACCGCCGGTTTTATTGGAACACCATCAAGGATATAGTCATCCGACCAGTCCATATTGGAAATTTTGAGATCCTGCCAATGTTTACGCCACCATGACCAGATACGTTTGGAGAATGGGCAGTCCATCCACAAATGTCGGGTGGTTTCCCACGCCCACTTACAGCGTGCACAACCAAGTTGTACTTCCATCCCCCTACCTGCCAAAAAAGCCGCTGAGGGTATCACAAGTAGAGATTGAGTCCACAAAATACTTGCCTGGCATAGGGACGGGAGCTTCTGCAGCTGCTTCCAGAGAGCATAGTACTCTTCTTCAGTGTAGTTCTTTAAGGCCAAGTCTGACCTGACTTTCCGTATTACATCGATAGGTTTCCTGGACCGTTTCCTGAGGATACGAGCCCCCCATTTCGGGGTATATTGGTGCAGACGAAGGTTCACTGTAGTCTGAACTATCTTCACCGTCCAGCTCCATCGCAGCGGATGTATCTTTACATCTGCTGCTGAGCGCCCTGGCAAGCACAAACATGGACGGACCACGTTGAATCGATCAATGTTTTCATCTACGATGCATTCGATGAGATCTGGTACTGGAGACAGGCATCCTTCATTGTCAAATCTCAGTGGAATCGACTCCTCCCAGGTTGGTTCCTGCAACCACAGCTGAAAAGCGGTCTGCCTGATTCATCATTATATAAATAAAAATCTACAAATCCTAGAGTCCGCTGAATAATCTTTAAACATGTACCAGCTACCTTTCTGCAACTGGTTGTTTTGACAGAGCTGGGATTTCCAATGCTCCGGGATAGCTTCAATCAAAACTTGAAGCTTCGCTTGTGCCCCTTGCAGGTGGGGGTATCTTATTCTCAGCTCATCCACTGTAACCCAATTTGCAGTGCCTGAATTCCATATGTCACCTATTCTGAAGATTCCCCTTTCCATCCAACGTCTTCCAAAATGGTTGTGTCCCTCTGCCGCCGAAAGAGGTAGCCCGTTAGAGTCTACAATGTGGGGGTTGTCAAATAGGCATTCATTAAGAATTTGTGTGCAAGTCTGTGGTTCCGAATAATAGAGCGGTCTAATCTGCTTCCAAGCCTGTAGTACTAACCTCTAAAAAACAGATTTGGGACGTCTATTCATAAAGGAGTCACTAAGGAAACAAGACCAGACATCCGAAGGATTAGATAAGTTTCACTCTTTACCCAAAATGTACTCGCCTAATTGAACCCAGATTCTGTCCTGTGAACCCAAAGCCGCTCTGATAGGCCACTTGGCTAGAGAAGCCATATTCTGTAGTTTGGGATCGAGTAGCCCCAGACCCCCCTCATTCCTTGGCACAACAATAACTTTCCAGGGCACCTTGTTCAGGCATCCCTGATCTTCTACTGCCTCCGGTTTCCAAATCAGCTTCCTAGCTCTCGCTCTAATCCTAGTATACGTTGGATTGCTCATTCGATGAACAGTTAGGACATACCACAAGGCAGAGAAGGCTGAGACTGAGACTAATAGAGCGCGGTCAAACAAACAATGGAGGTATGGCCTATTCCAGTTCTCAATACGCGAAATCACGTTCTTTTCCAATAGAAGATCTTGTGTCGCCACACAGTCAGCCAAAGATACATGAACTCCCAAAAACCGTTCCGATGAATCACCCAAGACTCTTTTCATTCCCCAGTTCACGCTCAAATGATGAGCAGATGGTAATAAATAAACAGACTTGGACCAATTAATCGAAGCCTCAGAGAGCAGACAATAGGAATTAAGGACAAGAGAAATTTGGTTCAGCACTTGGGGAGTATTTTCCGCGCAGATAGTTAGATCATCCGCAATTGCTCCTACCTTCCATTCTACATCTGGTTTGATCTTTAGGCCACTAATCTGTGAATTAAACCTAAGATTATCAAGGAGGATTTCGAGGTGTATAACAAACAGCGTTGGGGTCAGAGGACACCCCTGCCGCAGGGACCTGGTCAGTTGGAAAGGAGTTGAGCGGACCCCATTGACCATTACTGAGGCTGTGGCCCGGGAATACATCCCACTTACCCAGGTGCAGATATTCCTGCCAAAATTCATGTGCTTTAAGGTGGTTAAGACAAAGGACCATCTGACTTTATCATACGCCTTCTCCATATCTAGGAGAAGGACCGCCACGTCTCTGTTTTCTTTGGCAATAATTTCGAGAGCTTGCATCGTTGTAATAATGTTTTCATGTATTGATCGGCCTTTAATGAAGGCCCCTTGTTCATGACCTGTCAATTGTGGTAGGTGCACTGCTATACGCAAGGCCAGAGCTTTGGCTAACAGTTTATACGCAGCATTTAACAGGGAAATGGGACGCCAGTTCCTTATGTCTTTCTTTGATCCCTTCTTATAAAGGAGGGAGATGACTCCTTCCACCATGCGTCGGGGAAGGTCCTCTCCCAATAGTACGTTGTTGAATATTTCTGTGAGATACGGGCCAAAGAAGCCCCAGAAAGTTAGAATAAACTCGATGGGTAGGTCGTCCGGACCTGGGGCTTTCCCTGAAGCCATGACCTTTGCAGCTAACTTGAGTTCCTCCACTGAAAGAGGGCGATCCAGGTTCAACAAAATGTGCAACGAGATCCTTTTATCCGATCAGGAAA